AGCGGCGCTGGGGGAGGAGGGCGGCGGGCGGAGCCGATGCCCACGCTCAGCCTGCCTTCCCATATCGGCTGGTGAAAGGCACACTTGGGCAAACAAGCGCTTCCCGTGCGCTCCAAGTGCTCCAGATAAGCGAGTTGCTGAGAACAAGAGGCAGTATTTATAGCCTGGGCCTGATGTCGCTCCCGGGGTGCGGACAGGAGCCCGGTCGCTAGCCCTCCGACACGAAGCGCGGCAGAACTGAGCACAGCAGCTCGTGATCCTGGCCGGGCCTCTGGACACCTTCCCGACCAGACACGGATGCACACCACAGCCAAAGCTGCTCCATCCAGCCCAGAAGGGGAACGCAGTTGAAGGCCGAAGGCAGCGCAGATGGCCTGGCAAGGGGATGACGTTCCAAACTCTGGCAGAGTGGAAAAGGAGATAACCCCCGAGCAGGACCCTGGCCAAACTGCGTCCAGCTGGAGCAGCGACAGCGGTCTGTGCCCAGACTCCCGCCCTTAGAAACTTGGACCCGGGACTGGCACCAAAGCCTGCGCCAAAGCCCCTCTCCCACCCACCCAGGCACTCGCAGCTCCCGCTGCTCGGCATCCCCTACACACACGGCGCTCGGTGCCACCCAGCACAGCCCCGCGTCAAACTGCAGGCGCCTGTACGTCACACCCACGGCTCGATTTTATGCATCTCTTGCCAGGGGCGCTGACGCGGGCTGAGGTCCTCGCGCTACACAGGAAGGAAGCGGACACGGGAATTGTTGGGGGGAATAAAGTTTCGGGTAAGTTTGTTTCAGTCAGGCGCTGGCAAGCAGGCGAGCATCTGGAGCAGAGACGAGGATGGAGGCATGTGAGAGGGGCCCACGCGTCCGGACACACACACTCTGCACACCCTGGCCGACGTCCAGCACCACCCAGACACAGCTCTGAACCCTGGGGTCTGGAGGGGGGAAAGGACGCTTTGAAGCCCTCAGGGCCAGTCAAGATGTCCTTGTGCCTTCAGCCACGCTTCATTTCAGCAAGTGACTCAGCTGGTCCTGTAGGTTCGACGACTGCTCGACGCTGGGGACCAAGCAAGGAGAGGTTGGCGGTGAGATCTGCTGCCCAGACTGGGGACCAGAGCGGCTCCAGCGCTGACACTGCAGCGAAGAGAAACCCCGGGGCTCCCCAGCCCACCTCCGCGGCCCCACAGGGCACCCCTCATTTTGTGAGCCCACAAGCAGACAGCTCCGCTCTACGCCCCCCTCACCTCCCATCACAACCAGCCTCACAGGCCTGGTCACGTTAATGAAACGAAGTTTTGGTAGAAATCACCCCTTCACTCAAACTCCCACCTCTTCACGGTACCGAAACCCTACCCCGCTGGGCCAGCAGCTGCTACGCAGGCAGCTGCAAAAACCTTTTCGCTCTGTTTTCCCCCCACCCTACTCCCTTCCCATCAACGCCCACACGTGTTCCCCAGATCCTCCTGGCATTCCTTCAGCTAAGTACTCACTTCTTCTGAATTGCTTCTTGCCTGGATGAGAAAAGGAGACAAGAGCATCAGAAACCCAAAATCTCGGCAACAGGGTTAGTCTTATGTTGAAGAAAATGGATTCGATCGAGGGCTCAGGAGGCCAAAACCCCGGTGTATTTCTAGATGAAGCCCTGAGAGGACAGCAGCGGCACTGGCTTCTCCCTGTAGCCCTCGATGCATCACACACTCTCGCGGGATACACACTCCATGGTACACAGGAGGCAACAACCTCAGCTCCCACCCCAGAACAGCCGGAGCTGCACCAGTGGAGCTGGAGAGGGCTGGAAGACCCCAGCTCCAGGGTGTGCTCAGCTTTGAGGAGCCAGGCAAGAGGGACTGGTCTGAGCGGGCTTCACGCAAGGTCTTTAAGTAGAACGGGCAGGGATGGAGGGACCCACCCAGCTCCCCAGAGACAGTGTGGTGCCCGCCACTTACTGGTACTGCAGGTGAGTGGTTATTATGGCCATTTTCCTTAAGCTCTGTGGAGAATGAGACAAAGAATGAACGTCGGATGGAAGCAGCTCAGCAGGATCACAGGGCAAGCTGTCCCAATGCCCCGGGGAGTTCCTCCAGCACGGCCATCACTGTACCTCTGCGCTGCCTCCACCACACCCCCACCAGCATCT